CGTCCCCGCGCGGAGGAGCTGGGGCGTTGCGCAGGGGCTTAGCCCGGGAGAAGGACGTCGTCGGCCTGGAGGCCTGGGGCAGCGATGGTTCAGACCTGTCCGTCAGAGTTGATTTCCATGGCTGTGAGCGGTTTCTCGGAGAGGGTTTCTTTGCAAGTGGACTCCCTGCCCGGTTCTTCTCCTCTTTTGGAGTGCTGCTGGCTCTTGTTCTAACGCATATTTTTGACCGAGCGAGCATCACGGGGTATGCGCCGTCTTGCAGAGCTTGTGTCGAGAGATTTCCCAGGAGAATGAGTTCAGTGTCACACCAAAACTGAAGAATTTGCTGCGGTTGTGTGCCGGAGCGGCAGCTGCCTTCCCCAGTGACATAAGCTTAGTTCGTGATTGACTTTTCTTAAACTGGCACCTATAAATCTCTCTCGCTCATTCAGTCCAGTTTTCTTGGGACAAATTAACTGCTGGTGACAGACACCCTAAGCTTCTGGGATTTGTCCAAGGGACGAGTCTGTGGCTCGTGCGCAGGAAGATGGTTGTGACGTTGGAGGTACTTTTCTCACGGTCTCAAATGTATTTGCCCTTGTCATATGAGCGTGGTCTCTATCAGTTGGGAAGGCCATGATTAAAACCCCGAAAGTCATGCGATGGCCTTGGACTGAGCCTTCTCGCTTATCTGCGCAGTTGCCCGCGGTGTTAGTACCCGCAGAAAGGGTTCGGACCGACACGTGGCGTGACGCGTCTGCGCTCTGCGATGCTACGGCCCCGGTGAGAGCTCGGGCTGCCGTGCGCCTTGTCCTGGCGGAGGAGGCCGCGCAGAGCTCAGGCTGTGCAGGCAGACGGGCGGGGGTCTCTCGGTGTTGACGATGGCTCACTGGAAACGCCAGGGTTAGCCGGAGCGGCTTCTGGCTTTTCATCAGGCTCGTTTGTATTCCGTGTGCTGTCCCGGCAGCATCCGGAGACGAGGCTGTCCTGCCCTGATGCGTGTGTGATGAAGATCTGTCGGTGGGGACGTGCTTCTCATCCCACCCTGTGCCCCTTATCTGCTCGTGCAGATATCTGTATCCTCCTCTCAACCCTCCCTGTTACCAGCCCTCATTTTCCTTGGGATTCTCATTCTCTTGCTCCGCTCTCCTTCCAGCAAGCATTTATCTTGGGTCTTTCCCTTCTGATACAGTTTCTAGCACTTTCTTTTTCCAGGTTCTTGTCAAGAATGCCTGTGATGCTGCTGCGGTGGGGCAGCTCCATGGCCACGGCCAGTCCCTTTTACCCACCCTGCTCGTGGGGACATACAACCCCGCTCAGTTGCTGAGCTCGCGCATGCACAGAATAATCCTTTTAGCAGCTGGATGTTAGCCTTGTCTTTCCGAGGCTTAAATGTTTGAATACTTTTTTGCATCTCCAAAGGATTATGGAGACAGCTGCGGGGGAGAGTGTGTGGAGGGCTAGAGGAGCCCTGGTTTTCCAGGTGCGTTTGAAACTGTGATGGTATGTCACCCTTCGGAAACAGAGGCTTGAAGGGGAAGGAAAGGACCTGGGACTGGAAAATCCCTTCGTTGCGTGCAGTGTAACAGTGAATTGAATAACTACAGTTGAGGACGCAAGATCTAACCGCCCCCAAGCATGCGCAGTGGAGCGTTACGGGCAGCCTCCGCCAGCAAGGAAGCCTTAACTTTGCCAGGAGTGGACCAGGTGGTGCAGGAAACGGCCAAGCGTGAGCTTAATGTGTATGCCATGGACGTTAAACGCCAGCTGTAAAACCCGGACTGTCTGTGTGTGGTTAGCTAATTAACACCACTGGCAGTCGTTAAGTGGAAACAGGAAAGAGAGCGTTGGAACGAATGGTTTCTTGTTTCTGATGGGGTTTGACTGCCCCTTTTTTTTTTTTTCTTTTTTTTTTTTTCTGTGGAATTGCACTGAGGCTGCAGGGTGAGGTCACCCCACGCTGGACGCCAAGGAGACCATGCAGATGAGCAGTCACACAAATGTACTGATTGTAAACAGCTTCCGACAGAGTTCTTGCCTTAATAGATGCTGGGGGGGGGAGGGGGGGCTTTCCCATTCTAGGTCATTGATGCTGGGCCGGATCAAGTGCAGGACACGACGTTTCCCCAGGAGGAAGTTAGCATAGATTCCTTGAAATGGCATGGCCAAAATCAACCCCAAACACGTCCAGCACAAGCTGGGTGAGTTGAGGCTGGATACAGGCTCCGAGACTTTGCCAGTGCAGAGGGACTGCTGCAGGTCCTCAGGATGTGACTCTGTAGTAGTTCCACAGGCAGAGATACAAAGGAAAATGTGCATTTAGGGCCTTTTATCACTACTGTTAAAAATATGTTGGCTTTTTACAACTAAAAACCACAGAGCCTTTTCTTAGAAGATGAAGGGAGGAATCAGACGTCCTGTACTATAAACTGCAGGGTAAGTTTATTTTTCCCCCACTTGACTTCGACTCAGCTTTGGATATTTGGAGATTTCAGAGTTTCCGTTTTCTAAACTGTTTTTTTTTCCTCCTCTCTGGATTAAAGTTCATAACTGGTGTCTTTTCTGCCCCCCGGTCTTATTTACTTTGGTTAACTTACGCTCCTGCACGCTCTTCGCTCAAACCCTTCCCAGGAGAGGGAAATGATCTCCGTTTACGTACGTTTGTCCCGTTGAAAACGCACTGACCGCTTCGAAGTCAGGGAGAAATGGGCACGCAGTCTGCGCGACGTAAAAGACAAGCTGTACGGCGAATAAAGCCGTGGGTCGCTTGTATGTGAAGGACATGAGCACAGCACCAAAACGTGAAGGGTGGGCAAGCGGTTCCCATGAAATTCGTGTAAAATAGCTTTCTCCGGCGCTAAAGCGAGGGATTCAGCCATGCTGAGGCACAGTTCGTGGCTTATTTTGAGACGGTTCCTGTCACGCATGTGGATAGCAGGTTCTCCACCTCTCCACGTCTGGTCTCGTTCCCTTCCCAGCTCCGACTGCAGCGGTGCCGCTCCCCGGGGAGGATGCCGTCACGCGCGCTCTGTCGCCTTTATGCCGTGCTGCTGTAGTTGGACCGGGTCAGCTCCAGCTCGTCAGCATCGCAGCAACAAATTCAGCTCTGCTGGGAGAGGTGGTTACCCACTTGCTGAGCGTTTGGGAGGGCACTTGGCTGTTCATCCCGCTGTTTAAAAGCGGGGAAGTCGCTACCAGGCTTCTTATGGGTTTGTCCACCTTCCCTGATGGTGGGATCTGGGTATCTATAGCTGTGACAGTCACGGGTCGTGAGAGCTCTCAGCTCTGGTGGTTGAATGCAGAATGGCAAAATCCTGAAGGCATGGGCTGGCAAAGCATCTCGAGGCAGGGACTGAACCCTTGGTATCCCGTAGGGAAGTGGATAGCCCCGACGGGAGCTGTGCTGGCCTGCAGCTCTTCCTACCCGTCAGCTGTGCAAGTGCATTCCCTGCCCCAGACCTCTCTAGGACGAGCAGCGTCGCGGATTGGAATCTGTGATTTGTCCCCATTTTCAATCAAAATAGGCGTCCGTAAGATTCCTCCCAGATTTTATGTAGCAATTCTAACTAAACTCTTCAGTTCCTGATAGAACACCAGACGGTGATGTGTGGTTAACCTCAAGGGCAGGCGTGCTGTAACTGCTCTTGCAATTTTAATCAGTTGTCATGAAGTCGGTGATGGACTGAAGGAAACGTTCTCCTGCTGTTCCCAACAAGAGGGAGCAAGGAGCTGCACTGGCTTGGCAAATAGAAGTACAGGCAAATCAAACCTCGTTTCTAAAGCGCTTCCCTGCAAACAGGGGAGTGCACCACGCTCCTGCAGTCTTGGCTTTAACACCTATTTCTTTCTTTGAAGCTTTGAGAGCTTTAGTCCTGTTTCAGCTGAAAGCTGCTTGGGTTTAGATTTGAGAGTGGTGGGAAGGAAAAGGTAAAAACTGCAATTCTGGGCTGTTCCCAATTTCTATTTCCTCCCAGTTTTTCTTGTACTTCCCTGTAGACAAATCAGTCGAGGCGTGTGTCTCCAGAAGAACTAGAAACACAGCCTAAGCAAAACATTGCAAACTTAATTGGGAGACAGGGAGACTGGGATTTTGCAGCACTGATACTGACTGTGAAGCTTCACTTCAGGATTGAGGAGGGAATTTGTAGCAGTAAGGAGTGAGCAGAAGGGAGGGACTGGTGAAATCAGCTCGGATCAGCTGCTAATCCACTGCTTCGGCTGACCGTGGAGAAGGGGACGCGCTCCGTTGGTGCCTGCTTTGGAGCCCTTGGATGCAGAAGGGCGGTGGGGTTGAAGGCTGCAGTGGTGGCTTTGCTGGAAAGCTCTTTGAAAACTGAGTGTGCGAAAGAGATTGGTACAGTGAAATAGCTAAGTTGAAAAATCATACAATCACAGAATCGTTGAGGTTGGCAAAGCCCTTTGCGCTCCCCCAGCCCAACCGCCCCCCTACCCCCGCCATCCCCCCCCCAAACCCTGGCCACTCGGCC